ACCTTAACGAAATATGGTTAATACATCTCATGTAGCCCCGAAAAACCTATTTATAAATGAAAATGTATTAAAAGTTAGGTGGAAAGGATTTTTAACTTGGCCTAGCCTTAAGCCAACTTAACTTTGCAGTTGGGACTGTTGAATTGTGCAAAGGAGTTATCAGCAGACCTTTCTGCAACTCCAGTCAATCTGATTTTAGCTTTCGAATGCTTCGCCATGACAGACTTCATCAAAGTTAGCCAAAAGATCATCATGGATTCATCAGAATCGCAATACGATGTACTGAGGACGTATACACTCAAACCAACGGTTACAACTCCGTGGAAATTTTTCCTTTGTTTCAGGTGAAGCCCATTTGCGAAGCCATTTCATCTAACTTTTCATGTGAAAACAATGGGCTAGTGATGCGACCTTTTTAACTTATAAAAACATATTAATGTCATATATGACTGGTAGAGCACCCATCCACACAAGGAACCCTTTTTTATAGATTGATTTAGGTAGGTAGCTCGACTAGCTAAATAATTTTAAAAAGTGGGTTGACCTCATTGTCGCAACTTGGTCTTGTTGTCAGGGCGACTTAGTAGAACGCACCTAGTCCTAAGTCCTCTGCCATTCTAGTTATCATAATTTTCAGAATCAGACAGTTGACTTGGTACATTCTTAAACGTTTCGCCAGCATCGTAGTCGGCATCATCAGTGAGCTTTGCTATTCTCCGCACAAAGATACGAACTCGTCAGAAACTAATGAAGTCAATCCCTTGACAACCGTTCTGTCGGAAACGGTTACACTATCACTCCTCTTTCTGTCATTGTCTATCTATCTACTCTTTATCCTTTTCTCCCACTGCCGCCCTATCACAACTTCTCATTTGTTTACATTCCAATCATCAAAAGGTGTGCCCTTTTGTGGCAAACCGAGTGTGGCCTCATCACGCTTGCTATTTATATAGTCCAAGTTGCAAAATACGAGGTAAACCCACTTCTATAATTCGAAAGGAGACTGCCACCATAACAGAGGCCACAAAATCTTGGTTTTGATATATTAAATAATTTAATGCTCAAGCTATTCTTTTATTGACAGTAGGAGGGGACAGATCGGTTAGTCTTTTTCATTTTCGCCCGATTTCACCATAAGAATGCTGTTCATGGTGATGCTTTTTAAAATGTCGAAGTCGAAAGCCGAGCAAGTTTTTAACTAGATCAAATGTTGAATTATCTGAGACGGTGTCACGGTGAATATTGCACTAAAGTTCAATCAGAGCGGGCCAAAAGTAACGCTTCATCATTCCCAGTCCATAGGTCCATCCATTTATCAAGTAAGTTAGACCAATACTGATTTATCCGGCGGCTTCTGGAAACCCCGATTCTCATTTTTACTGTGAATGGTCAACGGGACATGCCTAAAGTGGTTATTTTGAGAAAATTGCCCCTACATGGTGGTGGTAGTAAAGCCTCGTGATTATGGGGACTTTTAGAGCTATCCTGCATTTATCCAAGCCGTCACTGAGCCTTGCTGGACTTCTAAATGCTGTCCCTTGATCGTAATTTTCGTTTCGATGTTTCACTTACTTTTGGGACAATAGTTACTCTGCAAATTAAACGATCTCGAGTGCAACAGGTAAAATCGCTTTCTTTCTATAGCTTATCTCAGCTTATCAGTGTATCCGAAGGCTAAATCTTCATCTTAACTTTGCCTATTAAATATTTGCCTGCTATATATTACCTGTTTAGGCACACTTCTCTGTCATTAAGAGGTCTGAGTAAGTACCTGTCCTTTATTCCAGTTGCGCAATATCATAGAGTGATTTAACTGCCCTTTTATCTACCACATCGATACATTCTCTGGAGCCGAACTGGACAAATATTTACTATCAAATTCGTATTATATGCTTCGTGAGGACGCATTTTCCTTTGATCTGTCATCTGGCCTGCCGGTACAGTTTTAGTATTTTTACTTTTCCTTAGCTGACCAGCACAATTCAGCTGATATCATATTTCCATTTCATTTGCTCTGGTCGGGTTTGCACTGAACCTGACTGTCTTCTCGTTCGACATACCATTTTTATGACCACCTCATCTGGTACTAGCATTAGCAATACCTCTTTAAACTCACATAATGAGTCAGATTAAAAATATCGAGATTCGGAATTTCTCATTAAGCCGACCTAAAATAATTCTTGTATTTAAAAAGTTTTGCCTATTTTTCCATATCTACTCTTACAAATTCAGACCATAACTTTTTCTATATGCCATGGTTTGTATTTCTGATTTTATTTTATTCTCGTTAAGAGTGTTGGCACTACAAATATATGAGAATAAAAGTTGGGCTTCGGTGAATCTCTTGGATCATAATTTTTAAGCTTACTTACATTTCGATTAAA